AGAACTAAGACCAGGCTGAAAGCAGCCCCAACTAGAGGCTCTGGAGCGTCGAAGGCGTAGGGCTACTGCCAGAATCACCGCGAGGAGGAAGAGCACCGAAATCAAGGCCAGGGCCACCACCAGATAGAACTGCAGCTCAGCCTGGGGATCAGAGGGCTTAGGACGGTCGCTAAGATCGGGCAGGGCTTCTTGTAGGCTGTCCGCAAAGACCAGGAGCAGAGTGGCGGTGGCAGAGAGGGGTGGCTGTCCCCCATCACGCACAGCGACCAGCAGGCGCTGGCGGGCCGCGTCCCTTTCGCCCAAAACTCGCGCTGTGCGCACCTCGCCCGTGCGCAGCCCCAGGCTGAACAGTCCGGGCTCGCTGGCCTGCAGCACGTGGTAGGACAGCCAAGCATTGTGTCCTGAGTCCGCATCCACCGCCACCACCTTGGTGACCAGGTAGCCTGGCTGCGCTGCGCGCGGCACGGTGTCGAAGAGCGCTGAGCCGTCGGGCCCCAGCGCCGGGTACAGCACCCTTGGCGCGTTGTCATTGCGGTCGCCCACCAACACGCGCAGGCTCACGTTGGCGCTGAGCGCGGGCGAGCCCTGGTCGCGGGCCTGCAGAGTCAGCTCGAAGGCGCGCAGCTGCTCGTGGTCGAAGGCGCGCTGCGCGAACACCACCCCGCTCTGCGCGCTCACGGACACGTAGGACGACAACGCCCGTGGCTCCAGGTCGCTGGCCACGATGGCGTAGGAGACATGGCCATTGGGTCCCAGGTCGGGGTCGGAGGCGCTGACCTGCGCTATGGAGGCCCCTGGGGGGTTGTTTTCTGGCACATGGACCAGGTAGGCGGACTGTTGGAAAACCGGAGCGTTGTCGTTCACATCGGTGATGTGCAGGGTGATGGTAGTGCTAGAGGAGAGGGGTGGGTTGCCTTTGTCGGTGGCCATTATAGTGACGTTGTATTCCGGGATCTCTTCCCGGTCCAGAGCCCCATCTGTCATTAGCTTGTAATAGTTTTTTGAGTAAGATTTCAAGGTAAACTCTTTCTTTCCTAATATGCTGCAGTAAACTTCTCCATTTTCTCCAGAGTCTCTATCTCTTGTTTTTATCAAGGCGATCACTGTTCCTGGTGGTGAATCCTCTGGAAGGGGGGTAAACACTGAGGTCACAATCACTTCAGGTACACAATCATTCTCATCGAGAATTTCGACTTGAATACTGCAGTGAGCTGCTAGATCCCCAGAATCTTTTGCTTCTATACTGAGAGTGTAACTATTAGCCATTTCAAAATCAAAATGATGCTTTGTTGTGATTTCTCCTGTTCTTTTATCTAAGTTAAAAAGTTGTTCCACTTGTTCATCCACGTTATGAAAGGAGTAGGTGACCTCCGCGTTAATGCCCTCGTCCTGGTCAGTGGCTGTCACTTGAAGTATGGAGAAGCCTGGGGGCACGCCCTCCTTCAGGCTGACCCTGTACACGTCCTGGCTGAACACCGGGGGGTTATCATTGGCATCCGTGACTTGGATTTGGATCTGGGTGGTGCCACTTTGGGGTGGGTCTCCACCATCCACAGCTGTAAGGACCAGTTGATGGAAATTCTGCTCTTCTCTGTCCAGAGAATGTTTCAGAATCAACTCAGGATATTTACGTCCATCTGGAGTCTGTTTCTCCATGAGATCAAAGTACTCATTGTCATTAAGGTAGTATCTTTGCAGTGAATTAGGACCAGCATCCGAATCCAGGGCTGGGTCTAGTGGAAATGTTTTACCTGGTTTAGTGGTTTCTACAATTTTAAAATCAATCTTTCTCTGTTTGAATAATGGAATGTTGTCATTTATATCCTGCACTACTACTGCCACATGGAAAACATTTAGTGGCTTTTCAGTGACAACATCAAAATCCAGAATACACAGAGGCTTCTTCCCACAAATCTGCTCTCGGTCTATTCTGTCGCTCACAAGTAAGTCCCCGCTGACAGGGTCTACAGTGAAATATTCCTTCTCCGCGCTAACTCGCAGCTTCCGGGCAGGCAAATCCCTGACTCTGAGCCCCAGATCCTTGGCGAGGTTTCCTACCACCGAGTTCTTGGCCAGTTCCTCAGGAATTGAATAACGGATTTGGTCCAGAAGAGCCCCCCGGAACAAAGACAGTAGAAAGGGCAACAATACCTGCCACCACCGCGCCGGGCTGCTCCTCTCTGCACTCGGCCTCATGCTCTGTCTCCCTCCGCTGCTGCTCTCTCTGCTCCTTGACCATGGGGAGGAATAAGCCCTCTGTGGATGGCAAAAATCCGGAGTAGGGGCAATTTTCCTGCTTTTGTTTTTGTAACCAAATCTGTATTGGCCTCCTCCGCGAGGTTGGTTTGACCAGGAAGTTACCTTCTGAGAGGCTCCCAAATGCGTCTGGTATCTTCTCGCTCTTCTTTAGACCTACAGCGACGCCCAGGGGTATTTTTGTGAAACTGCTCCAAGGGTTTGTAAATGTTTTGCAAAGAATTTTTTTTTCTTTTGTGGATTTATAGAGTATTTGTTTAAATAGGTATACATTACATAGTTCCAAATTCAAAAGGTATATACAGTATATTCTATAGACTCTCCCTCTTTGTTTTCAACAACACATTTCTCCCAGAAGAAATGAGTGTTCCTTTATTGTGTACTATGCCAGAGGTATGTTTTGTATAGTGAAGCAGAATTTTATCAATGTCCTCCCCTGCTTTCATACATATACAAAAGTATACAACAGACCATGTTTTGCAGCTTGCTTTGTATACTCATTATATTTTGAAGATCATTTCATATTAGTACATAAAGAGGTTTCCCATGTATTTCTTATAGCTATGTAGTAACCCACCATATGGTTGTGCAGTAACTTATTTAACCAAAAATAATATTTTCTAAAAGAAACCCAGTACCTATTCAAACAAACATTTTCTATGTGCTATTAGGTTATCATTTATCTACTGCTGCTCTTCTAGGCATTTAAAATATGTATCACTCTGATTCTGAATGTATTCCTAATACCACAATCCAAATATGTGTGACACAGCTTGAGGACAATTGATATTTCCAAATTATATTTTAAAGCTGCAGTATTGTAAATAATTTCTTCTCAGATATGATTTTTCTCTCTCAATATTCATTTGTTACTTTTCTTTCCTCTCTTCATGCCAGCTGGTTGTATAATATCACATTCTTATTTATTCTATGTATTGCACCACAACTTTCCATGAAGACAAAAACATCAAGAAACTGAGACTCTCCTTCTTAGGTTGAATTGAGGCATAGTCCCCAATTTATTGCTACAATTTCAAGGTATTCAAACATCACTAATTTGAATAGTCCTAGACATTCATGAATTCCAAAATAACTAAGAGAACAAAATAAGGCATAAAGAACAAAAGTTGCATACCCTTTGTACAAAAAATATTTTCCCCTATACTAGACCATTGCAGAGAAATGAAGTGACAGAGCTATCTAAGGGCAATGTGCAGAAACAGGGATGAGACTTATTTACTAAGTAGCACAAATCATATCAGTTCACAAATCAAGTCACCTGACCCCTGTAAAAGGCTCCCATGATGAAAAGAAAAATTTTCAAGTTATGTTTCTTTATAAACAGAGAAAGGTCTCATAGTGGTGCCACAATAGGTAATTTAGATATTATTAAAATTATTCCTACAACCTAATGAGACAAGTGAAATAAAATGAGCAATATTTTTGGTAATCACAGAAGTACACCAAAGGAATCACACACAGTCACAGCTAGTAAATCTCAGAAACTGCAACAACAAAATATTTAAAATATATCTGTCTATTTGAGAAGCTGTCACTGTTAAAGTTGTAGCTAAATGTTAAATATTTCCCCCACTGTTTATAAACTGACATTGCTCATTTATAATGAAAAATACCCATTCAAGTAAAATTCAAGCGAAATATGCCAGAGTATAAAAAGATGAAATTTTAGCCCTGGCCAGTTTTCTCAGTTGTTAGAGTGTCAGCCAGCAGACCAGAGAGTCCTGGGTTTGGTTCCTGCTAAGGTATGTACCTGGGTTGTAGTTTGTCCCCAGCCCCAGATGGGGTTGTGTAGGTGGCAGCCAGTCGATGTGTCTCTCTCACATCGCTGTTTCTCTCTCTCTCTTCCTCCCTCTCTCTCTTCTGCTCTATCTGAAGATACAAAAATGTCATTGGGTGAGGAAAAAAAAAGATGAAATTTTAAAATAGTCCAGATTCAACAATACCTTCATAAGAGAGAATGCTTTAATATAAATTTTCACAATTGCCTTCTCTTTCATACTTCAGTATTTTCAGTAAAACTTAAAGGAAAATGGCATTTAAAGAAGTGAGGCAGTTTGCCCAGGCCAGTTTGGCTCAGTGGTCGGAGCATTGGCCTGCAGACCAGAGAGTCCCGGGTTTGGTACCTGCTAGGGGCACGTACCAAAAAAAAAAGAGGAGGAGGAGGAGGAGGAGGAAGAGGAAGAAGAAGAAGAAGAAGAAGAAGAAGAAGAAGAAGAAGAAGAAGAAGAAGAAGAAAGGCAGTTAGAGATATAAAATTAAGAAATTGTTGCCCTGGCCAGTTTGGCTCAGCGGTTGAAGCATCGGCCTGTGGTACGGAGAGACCCAGGTTCGGTTCCCACTAAGGGCATGTACCTCGGTTGCAGTTTGTCCCCGACCCTGGTTGGTCGTGCGGGTGGCAGCCACTCGATGTGTCCCTTCACATCGATGTTTCTCTCTCTCCCTCTTCTTCTCTCCCCCTCCCGCTCTATCTGAACAAAAAATGGAAAAATGTCCTCGGGTGAGGATAAAAAAAAAAAAAAAAAAGAAAAAAAGAAATTGTTGCTGAAACTATTACTTGATTAAGACTACAAAGGATAGGTGTAGTACATTTATTGATCATTACTGAAGGGTCATCTGCCCCTCCCCTTTAAAACAATAGAATACTAAAAATAAGTATCTTTGTGTGATTTGAAATGCATCTTATACAATCAGAGCTTATAAAATTAAAGACACAGGATGTCTGCCTATGTTTCAGTGTGGCAACGTTGACTTACCTGATGAAGATTGGGGTCTCCTTTCGTTTCAAGTAAATCCTGAGTTATCAAAAGAGGCTCGTTTTTTTCACAGCTCTTCTGGCTGATGAGTGTGTCTGCGTAGTTGGGCTGGGGGAAGATCAGGTGACTCTTCCTCGAGTCCGCGGTGAGGGAGACCTCGTGGGAATAGGTCTGCAGGAAAGCCCGCACCCCATCCACACCCACAAAGTGCGAGGCGGACATGCCCACCAACCCACCTTCTGAAGCCTGGAGCAGACGTGATGTGTGCCAGCGCCGCAGTCTCAGTGCCAGCAACACAATGACAAAGGCAAGGAAGAGGCAGGACACCGAGGCCACAGCCACCACCAGGTACAACGTGAGATCCGAAGCCTCTGGGGTTGAAGAGATCTCAAGACTGCTCAAGTCAGCCAACACATCTGGGATGCTGTCAGCCACAGCCACAGTGAGCGTGACGGTGGCTGAGAGAGGGGGCTGTCCGTGGTCCTGGACCATCACCACCAGGCTCTGCTTGAGCGCATCTCTGTCCAGCAGGGCCCGTGCCGTGCGCACCTCACCCGTGTGCCGCCCCACCGCGAAGAGCCCTGGCTCGCTGGCCTTGAGAAGGTGGTAGGACAGCCAGGCGTTCTGGCCGGAGTCTCTGTCCACTGCCACGACCTTGGTCACCAGGTAGCCGGGTTCTGCAGAGCGGGGCGCCAATTCTACACCAGTGGAACCATCAGTGGGGTGAGAGGGGTACAGTATTTCAGGTGCATTGTCATTCTGATCCAGAATAAATAGGCTCAGAGACACATTACTGGTAAGTGGAGGGTCCCCGCTGTCACTGGCTGTTACCAGTAGTTTCATGTCTCTAACCTGCTCATAGTCGAATGAACGAAGTGAATACAGGACACCGGTATCAGAGTTGATAGAGACATAGGAGGAGAGAGGCTCCTCCTGGAGCACGTCCTCAGCCAGGGAGTAAGTGACTCTGGCGTTCTCAATGCTGTCAGGGTCCTGGGCTGTTATGGTTAAAATGGAGGCTCCTCTGGCATTGTTTTCAGGAAGGTAGGCAGAGTAAGAAGCATGAAGGAAGGCAGGTGGGTTGTCATTGATGTCTGCCACCTTCAGTGAGATGTGGGTTTCTGTAGATAATGGTGGAGTTCCCTGGTCAGTGGCAGTTACTGTGATGTTATATTCTGAGACTTTTTCTCTATCCAGAGCGCTGTGTGTCAATAATCGATAATAATTTCCGTAGGTCTTTTCAAGTGTGAATGGCAGATTATTTGGAATAGAACACGTGACAAGGCCATTCTCTCCTGAATCACTATCATGCACATTGAAAAGTGCAATTACTGTGCCTGGGGAGGAAGTTTCTTGGATAGAGCTGACGAGAGAAGTAACCATGACTTCTGGAGCATTGTCATTTACATCCAGCACTGTTACCAGTACCTTACTCCTGGCTCGGAGACCAGGACCATCGTGAGCTTCTACATCTATATGGTAGAATTCAGAGTCCTCATAATCTAAATCCTCCAATATTGTTATGTCTCCAGTCTCAGAATTCAACTGGAACAGCTGGGATATTTTATCTCTTACTTTCCGGAAATAATATGTCACTTCTCCATTGGCTCCTTCATCTGGATCAGTGGCTTTTACGGTGAGGATTCGGGAGCCCACCGGTATATTCTCTGGAACACTCACATGGTACTCGGGCCGAGTGAATAGTGGGGCATTGTCGTTCGCATCCATAAGTGTTACATGAATCCTGGTAGTGCCAGAGTGAACTGGGTCGCCTCCATCGAAGGCGGTGAGAACCAGATGGTGAACTGCGTCTTTCTCGCGGTCCAAGGCGCACTCCAGCACCAATTCAGGGTACTTTATCCCATCAGCTCCGTTTTGCACGTCCAGAGAAAAGTAAACATTCGAGTTGAGCTGGTAACCCTGCAGAGAGTTTACCCCTACATCCGGATCAAAAGCTTCAGGAAGAGGGAATCTTGTCCCAGGAATTTCATTTTCAGCGACTTTTATTTCCCTTTGCTCTGCCCCAAAGTTGGGCGCGTTATCATTAACATCTATTATTTCCACTTCTACTCCAAAAATCTTCACTTTGTCCTCTAGGAGAATCTCCAGGCTTACTACACACTTTGGAGATCTATCACAGAGCTCCTCCCGGTCTATCCTGCCCGCGGTGACCAAGCTGCCGCTTCGCAGGTTCAGAGCAAAGAGCTGCGTCCTACCTCTGGAGACGATGCGGACTCCGCGCTCCGCCAGCTCCCGGGGCTCCAGCCCCAGATCCTTGGCGATGTTGCCCACGTAGGAGCCTTTCTCCAGCTCCTCGGGCACAGAGTAGCGGATCTGTTCAGCCCGGGTTTCCCACAGGGCCCCCAGGAGAAGGCAAATCCCAACCAGCCGGCTGCAGTATGGACGATAAGGAGAAGCCGCCATTACAATCCAGCCGCTGAGAAGTTGCGCCAGAGTTTTCCCTCGAGGGAGATCTGAGGACCCCCAGGAACTTCGCGATCCAAGATAATGTATTTTCACCGTTGGCTGTTGGAGCTCTGGGGTTTCAGTTTGGAGCTTTTATAAAGCTCCAGGGTCAGTGCTTTGTGATGCAGAAATCTTGTGGTTCGGATTAAATTCCTGATTGTCTTTTCCCCGATTGGTGAACAGCGACACCCAGAGTCCTAACCTGTTATTGCAATCTATTCTCACCTGTGTACACCATGTCTTTTCAGTATCCTATTTCTCCCAAAAGAATAAGTCAAACTCCTGTTGTTTTATTTGCAATAAAAATAAATAAACAATCAAAAGCTTCTTGTACAATAAGCCTTATAAAGTAATTAATTTTTAGAGAAAATATTTTTTTTTGGCTAAAAATGTTTATACTTCTTTAAAGTTTTTGCGTTATGTATTCTCATAGTCCATTTTCAGAACAGCGTATTGTGTGAGAGACACATTTATCCAGCCCAGGAACAAGGGTGGACTTGAAGACTGGAAAAATAGGTGAAAAGCCAGTGTCTGAAGAGTTGGAAATCTGGGCTCTAGTCACAAACCATGCAGAAACAAGTTTCCTCACATGAATGGATCTTTTAGAATCTGGGGCAACTTTTTAGTTCCTTGTAAAATATATATATATACTGTTCAAGAGCTAGTCTTACCCCTGTGTCAATGTAATTAGCAAATATAGTGATAGGTTTGGGAAGAAAATTTGTTCATTAATTTTCTATACAGAAGATTCTATGCCAAGAGTTACATCTGTAACTAGCATGTTCACAATGTATCCTCAAAGTTTAGAACACTACCTTTCACAGAGTATGCAGCAAACAGTTTTTCAGTGTTTAGTAAATGAGTTACTAATGCAACTGCAAAGCCTAAAACAATGGATAAATAACTCTGATCTTCAAAATAAAAATAAACAAAGATAAGAAGACAAAAAGGCTAGAGTGAAGCACTATAAAGACCAGACAGCATTTCAGTGATCTTTTCCCACACAAGGACATATCCAGAAGGTATTATTTTACCGTTATTTCTAAATTTATTTTAGTTTTGATTTTAGAAATAACCAGTAAAAGGAAACATTTTAGTAGTTGTATATATATTGTCATTGCATGTTTCATAGTTTTTTAATTCAAAAAAAAAAACTTAGAGTAATGTACTAATTTGAGATAAAGCAGCAAGTACCCAGTTCTTTAGATTATTCCTCACATAATAAATAACTTCTAGAAATTAATCATAAATTTAAAAAGTCCACTGACTATTCAGTTTTTAAATCTCCCGACTTTGTAGAGTAAATTAGATTTTTCCTACACAATTTTCAAAGGACCCATAAATTGCTAGGGATTGAGATAAAACAATGAAATATTTTGAAAAAATTGACTCTCTTCTCAGAAACATACTAAAAAATAAAATATGAAACAGGCTTTATATACAAAAATGTCCCTTGCATTTCTTATTATAATAGTGACAAAGTAGCAACAGGTATAAAAATAAATTATTAAAGAAGGAGGTGGCAGAGCAGCTTCCCCAGCAGATGCAGAAATGCAGATCTTTGTGAAAACCCTGACTGGCAAGACCATCATCACCCCTGAGGTTGAGCCCAGTGGCACCACTGAGAATGTCAAAGCTAAAATCCAAGACAAGGAGGGCATCCTGCCTGACCAGCAGCAGCTGATTTTTTCAGGCAAACAAATAGAGGATGGCCGTACACTCTCAGACTACAATATTCAGAAAGAGTCCACCCTGCACCTGGTGCTTTGTCTGAGGGATGGCCTCATCATCAAACCTCCCTCTGCCAGCTCACCCAGAAGTACAACTGCAACAAGATGATCTGCTGCAAGTGTTATGCTCACCTGCACCACTTTGCTGTCAATTGCCGAAAGAAGTGTGGTCACACCAACAACCCGTGCCCCAAGAAGAAAGTTAAATAAGGCTCCTCTACCACTTCCTTGGGCCCACTGGGCAGCCTTTTGCCTGAACCCTGTGATCTTGGGGCACCAATAAAGTTTCTCTGTTGTTGACTGGAGCAGTAAAAAAAAACAAAAAAAAACAAAAAGTAAATAAATTATTAAAGAAGAGTTAAGAAAAGTATTCTTGAATGAGATTATGAAGTGGGATAAAGTTGACCCAGAGGTAGTGATTAAAATGTAAGATCTGACCATGTTTGCTACATGTGATAAGGTCAAGAAATGCTAAGAAACAATTATTGGAAAGCTATATTAAAAATACACATCACGGTCCTGGCTCAGTTGTCCCTTGCACTGTAAGGTCACTGGTTCAATTTCAGGTCAGGACACATACACATGATGCAGTTTCTATCCCTGGTCTGAGTGCCTATGGGAGGCAACTGATAGATGTTGGTGTCTCACATGGATGTTTCTCTCCCTCTCCCTCTCTCTCTAAATAAATAAAAACATTTAAAAATAAAAATACACATTGCAGCAACAAACCAACAACTAGGATGTCTTTGATGAGATGAACATAAAGTTTATGCCAGGCAGAAAAAAACTGCCAGCATATTTATAAAGAGTAAAGCTTGAAACAAACAAACAAACAAACAAACAAACAAACAAACAAAACCAGTATCGCATACCAACTAAAAAGGGGTAGTGCTATTATTGAAAGTAATGACAACCAAGAAAAGCTCTGTTTAGCAAGATTTGCTGACCATATAGAAATGCCAACAGTAGAGATTGAGAAGTAGTAATTAGCGAATTGCCAAGAGTACTGAGCAATCAAGGGACCCATCTCCACCCATCCAATACACCTCCTCTCTCACTACCACTACTAGAACAATGAACACCGACCCAAACTAATTATGCACACTAAGAATAAAATACAATATAAAATGTAAGTAGGTTTGCAGAAACTCACGTGTGAGGAAAAAGAGGAGTCATAAGCGACTTGAGGGTCTTCATTATTGGCACATACATCCATAGAAGGATCTTCGCACAGGAGATCCCGAGTGGGAGCCATTTCCGGGGTCAGGTTAGAAAAATTATGTTTGGTCATTGCTGAATGCGAGGCAACGCACAGATTGTAAGAATAGGGCAAAGTCCCTTCACTGTAGTTGGGGGCAACTACAGGGTCAGACTTGGAGTAGAGGCCAGGCTGAAAGCAGCCCAAGGTGGTGGGGCTGGAGGAGCATCGAAGTCGTAGGGCGACCGCCAGGATCACCGCGAGGAAGAAGAGCACGGAAATTAAGGCCAAGGCCACCACCAGGTAAAACTGCAGCTCAGCCTGGGGATCAGGAGCTGCGGGAAGGTCGCTGAGATCCGGCAGTACCTCTTGTAGGCTGTCCGCAAAGACCAGGAGCAGCGTGGCGGTGGCTGAGAGGGGCGGCTGTCCCCCATCACGCACAGCGACCAGTAGGCGCTGGCGGGCCGCGTCCCTTTCGCCCAAAGCACGCGCTGTGCGCACCTCGCCCGTGCGCAGCCCCAGGCTGAACAGTCCGGGCTCGCTGGCCTGCAGCACGTGGTAGGACAGCCAGGCATTGTGTCCTGAGTCCGCGTCCACCGCCACCACCTTAGTGACCAGGTAGCCCGGTTGCGCTGCGCGTGGCACGGTGTCGAAGAGCGCCGAGCCGTCGGGCCCCAGCGCCGGGTACAGAACCCTTGGCGCGTTGTCGTTGCGGTCGCCCACCAACACGCGCAGGCTCACGTTGGCGCTGAGCGCGGGCGAGCCCTGGTCGCGGGCCTGCAGAGTCAGCTCGAAGGCGCGCAGCTGCTCGTGGTCGAAGGCGCGCTGCGCGAACACCACCCCGCTCTGCGCGCTCACGGACACGTAGGAAGATAACGTCCCTGGCTCCAGGTCGCTGGCCACGATGGAGTAGGAGACACGGCCGTTGGGTCCCAGGTCCGGGTCAGAGGCGATGACTTGGGCAATGGAGGCCCCAGGTGGGTTGTTCTCGGCCACGTGTACTACGTAGGAGGTCTGGTGGAAAACTGGAGTATTGTCGTTGATGTCAGCGATGTGTAGGGTGATGCTTGTACTGGAGGATAGAGATGGCTTGCCCTTGTCGATAGCTGTGACGGTGACGTTGTACTCTGATACCTGCTCACGATCTAAAGCACGGTCAATCAGCAGCTTGTAATAATTCTTGGAGGTGGATTCTAATTTGAAGGGAACGTCTCCCTCAATATAACATGTCACCAGACCATTTTGCCCAGAATCCTTGTCTCGAACTTTAATGAGGGCTATTACGGTTCCAAGGTCTGAGTCCTCAGGAATCTTGTTAGAAAAGGACATGAATGTTACCTCTGGGGCATTGTCATTCTCATCAACAATTTCAATATGAACACTACAGTGAGCCGTGTGTACACCTCCATCCTTGGCTTCTACAGCCAACATGTACATACTTGTCTCTTCAAAGTCCAATGTACCATTGGTTGTGATATCACCAGTATTTGGATTGAGATTGAAGAGAAGGCTGGTGCTTGTTGGGGCATTGAGGAAGGCATAGGTGATCTGTGCATTAACACCCTCATCCTGGTCAGTGGCCTTCACTCGAAGCACCGAGGTTCCCCTGGCCACGTTTTCGTGGAGTCTAACTCTGTATGTGTCCTGGCTGAACACTGGAGCATTATCATTGGCATCGGTGACCTGTATCTGGATCTGGGTGGTGCCACTTAGTGGAGGGTCCCCACCATCCATGGCAGTCAGGATTAAGCAGTGGGAACTCTGCTGTTCTCTGTCCAGAGGCTTTTCCAGCAGTAATTCTGGGTATTTACTCCCATCAGGACTTTCCTTCGTTGACAGAGAGAAGTGGTCATTGGGGCTGACGGTGTAAACCTTCAGTGAGTTACTTGCTACATCTACATCTTGTGCAGAATCCAGTGGGAATTTTACCCCTGGTAAGGCTGACTCACAGATTTCCAAGTCAATGCTTTTTGCCATGAAACGTGGTGCATTGTCATTAATATCTTGGATTGCAACAGTCACGTGGAACACATTCATTGGGTTTTCAGCGACCATTTCAAATTCCAGTGCACACTCAGATCTCCTCCCACAAATCTTCTCTCTATCTATCCTACCGCTCACTAACAAATCCCCACTCTCCGCACTCACGTTGAAAAATTCCTCTGCATTAACCCGCAGTTTTCGAGCTGGCAACTCCTGAACACTGAGCCTCAGATCCTTGGCGAGGTTCCCCACCCTCGATCCCTTGGCCAGCTCCTCTGGAATCGCGTACTGGACCTGCTGGGAGATGGCTCCGCACAACAAAGACAGCAGGAAGAGAAACAGTACCTGACTTGTCATCGTTTCAGCTTGTCCGGAGTTCCTTTGCATCTCTTGAACTCTTTGGGAAGCTTCTTTTCAAGATGTCTCTGGGATGTTTAAAAAAGCACTGACAGCACCCTGGACGTTTGGGACTTGAGGGTAGGACTTGTTAAGCTCTTACAGATGCACAGGAGAGGCGTCCGCGTTCTGCTGTGCACAGAACAAAGCTAGAAACACTCTGCCGGAAGCTCCCGCGGAACTGAGAACTCCTTTCTTCCCTTTGGTCAACAGCGGCCCCCGGAGGTTGTCTGGGAAAAGTGCACGTTGCCTAGCTATCCTCCAAGTGTAAGCTCTTGAATCTATATGCATTTTGTCTTTTTATTTGTTGGAAAGAGCCAAATATTTAAGTTTACCTTCAAATGAGACATTTTCTAGTTTTTTTGGTCATCTCATAAGCGTTGCCACCATTTCACATCATTTTTTTATTGAAACATTTAATAAGGCATACAGCCATTGTTTTTCAGTTTGGGGGTGGCCGGGATCTTCAGTAATTTTACTGTATTTATAAAATTGGATCAACTAGTAGGGATGTAACCAAATTTTCGTGGACTATGATCCTTACTGGCTTTTTATCCACATTTTCGTGGACTATGATCTTTACATTTTTGTAAATCCATAACTTTCCTTATTTAGCATTTTAACTCTCCCATATATACCTCATTAATTCTATAATACCCTTTAAAGATATAGTCTTTGTAAAAAAAAAAAAAAAGAGTGAGTCAAGCAGCAAGATTTATTTTAACGTATTTCTCATCTTTTCAAAACACAGGTTTCCTGTTATGTACAGCAGAGCCTGATATTTTGTTAAAGAGACCAATTTAGTACTCGGGCACATATACATGTATTTGTAAAGCTGAATCTTGTGTAAGTCATATTTATTTTTATTAAACTAGTGCTTCTTTATTATATGAATGTGTATGCATTACTCCATAATGCCAATTTTCAGCTCCAGCCAATGTACACCATTAATAAATGAAACGAGTTTGACTTGATCACTAGTTATAATCTTGGCAAGGCATTGAGAATTCATACACACTCCATTTTAGAACTTACCAGTAATCCTTGAACTGGTCTTGAGTAACAAAAACATACAAATACATTACCAAATAGATACCAACTCAACAATTTGTTCTATGATTTGCAGTGCTAACCCATACTCATCTTACACTCCAGCCAAAACAGACTATCTCTTTTCCTAAGACACCTTTTCCCTACTCCATGCCTTTATACTTTCTCTTTTTTTTATTAGAATTTCTCCTCTCTTTCTCTTGTAATGAATTATTGCTCATCCTTTAAAAATATTTTGTAGTGAAAACAGGATGTCTGAAACCTTTCAATATCTATACATGCAGATGGAAATTACACAGCCTTTGTATTTTCTTTGCATTTTCACATATTTTTAAGTTATGTTTTATATGGGATTCTTAAAAAATTCTCTTTAAACATCTAAAGTTATCTGGCACTAGCCATTTAATATTTTCCCAAAGGTTATGTGCCATTTTTTCCTGTTATGTATTTGAATGTTTGAGTGAGAATACACCCTTCTCTGCTTTCAGTCATTCTGTTCAGACCCTGTTGTCACACACTTCTCAATGCACCTCTTCCTAATATATGCAGGAGACATCTGTTTCTTTGTTTGAGAGCTAATAAACTTATATTTTAATCTAACTTTGGATGACTCTTTTATGTGACTTTATGGGTGAAAGTAATTTTATAAATTTCAAAATAGGCCAACAATTTCTGCTCCAAGAAAGTTGTATAACTCCTATTTCCCTATTGCAGCATATGGTCTGGAAATCTCCCACAAAGGCAGAGACATATCTCCTTACACTTTTTTATCCTTCACAGAGGACAAAAAATACCACCCCAAGGCTCATAACTGTATAGGCAATTGAACTTCTCACCGTCACACAAACAGTTTAAATAAATATTAATACACACATGCACACACACACTTTAGGTATACATAATAGGGACTACAGGACAAGTAAAACAATTTGACCAAATATATATATTTTCTATAGTCATCTGAGGATATTTTCCCATGTATCTTCACAAACAGTGGGAGGGAGGGAGGAAAGAAGGAAGAGAGGGAGGGAGGGAGAGAAAGAGAGAGAGAGAGAGAGAAACATCGATGTGAGAGAGAGACATTGACTAGTTGCCTCCCGTATGACCTCGACCAGGGCCAAGGATGAACTACAACAGAGGTACATGCCCATGACTGGAATCAAACCAGTGACTCACTGGTCCGAGGGCCAAATGCTCTAAACACTTAGCAAAACTGGCCAGGGCCCAACTATACTTTTATCCTATAATCTTTATGTCATTGAGATAAAGAGTGTGGTCTGACTTGAAAAGAGTTAAATATCATTTTATGGGAGCCTAACATAACTAACTAAATATATATATTTACTTGTTTGAATCAGTCTGTATAGGCTAGGTAGGCAGGAGTGACTAACTTCAAACGACAGGAGTTTAAAATGAAAAACATCTATTTGTCACAGATATAAGTCAAGGTTGGGTAAACCACAGAGCTCTTCTCTCATCATAGTTCTTCAAGGACTCAGGTAGAAGGAGCAATCACAATTTCAAAGAGTATTTTAGAGATCTGGAAATTCTCACAAGGGCAACTAAAGCTTCCTCCAGGAAGAGACACACCTAGTTCCATTTACAATGTCTTGACCAGAACTAGTTACCTAGACCCACTCAGCTACACCAGGCCAGAAGTGCAGACCTAACATAGGCCCAGAAGGAAAGAGGAACGAATACTTAAACAACAGGACTAAGTTTTATAATAACCACATTGGCACAATTGATCTTTATACTATTAAAAAAGAACAAACAGATAAACTCACCTGAAGTAGCTTGGTGTCTCCTTTTGCTTCGAGAAAGTCTTGAGCTACCAGGAGAGGTTCGCTTTTCTCACAGCTCTCCTGGCTGATGAGTGTGTCTGCGTAGTTGGGTTGCGGGAAGATCAGATGACTCTTCCTCGAATCAGCGGTGAGGGAGACTTCATGGGAATAGGTCTGCAGGAAAGCTCGCACCCCATCCACGCCCACAAAGTGCGATGTGGGCACTCCTGCCAATCCCCCTCCTGAAGCCTGGAGCAGACGTGATGTGTGCCAGCGCCGCAGTCTCAGTGCCAGCAACACAATGACAAAGGCAAGGAAGAGGCAGGACACCGAGGCCACAGCCACCACCAGGTACAACGTGAGATCCGAAGCCTCTGGGGTTGACGAGATCTCAAGACTGCTCAAGTCAGCCAACACATCTGGGATGCTGTCAGCCACAGCCACAGTGAGCGTGACGGTGGCTGAGAGAGGTGGCTGTCCGTGGTCCTGGACCACCACCACCAGGCTCTGCTTGAGCGCATCTCTGTCTAGCAGGGCTCTCACAGTGCGCACCTCACCCGTGTGCAGCCCCACCACAAAAAGCCCTGGCTCGCTGGCCTTGAGCAGGCGATAGGACAGCCAGGCATTCTGGCCGGAGTCTCTGTCCACTGCCACGACCTTGGTCACCAGGTAGCCGGGTTCTGCAGAGCGGGGTGCCAGTTCCACTCCAGTGGAACCGTCTGTGGGGAGGGTGGGGTAGAGGATCTCTGGCGCATTGTCATTCTGGTCCAGCACAAACAGGCTTAGAGACACGTTGCTGCTGAGAGGAGGGTCCCCGCTGTCACTAGCTGTCACCAGTAGCTTCAGGTCTCTAAGCTGCTCATAGTCCAAGGATCGAAGAGCATACAGGACTCCCGTGTCAGAGTTGATGGAGATATAACTGGAGAGAGGTGCTCCCTGGATAGTATCTTCAGTCACTGCATAAGTGATTTGGGCATTCTCCATACTGTCAGGGTCCTGGGCGGTAACAGAGGAGATGGAGGCTCCTCTGGGGTTGTTTTCCAGAACATAAGCAGAGTAGAAGGCATGAGTGAAGGTTGGTGGGTTGTCATTGATGTCTGCCACGTGCAGGATGATGTGAGTGTCTGTAGATAGCGGTGGACTTCCTCCATCTGTTGCTCTCAGGGTTATGTTATATTCAGAAATCTGTTCCCGGTCCAGGGATCTGGCTGTCACTAAGCGGTAATATTGGTCTATTGATTTTTCCAAATTAAATGGCATATTTCCCAGGACAAAAACTGTGACTTGCCCATTTTTCCCAGAATCCTGGTCATGCACATTGACCAGGGCAACTTCTCTTCCTGCGGCAGTCTCTTCTGTGACTGATCCTGTGAAAGAAGTGATTGTAATTTCTGGGGCGTTGTCATTCACATCCAGAACTGTGACTACAATTTTAGCTTTTGAGAGGAGACCTGGTCCATCTTGTGCTTCAATTTTAATTTCATAGAACCTAGCATCCTCATAATCTAGACTTTTTAATATGGATATATCGCCAGTCACCGAGTTGAGATAAAAGATCTCAGCTATTTTCCCAGGCATTTTATCTAGCATGTAGGACACTTGAGCGTTGAATCCTTCGTCAGGGTCCGTGGCATTCACGGTGAGCAGTCTGGTGCCCACTGGGAAGTTCTCCTGCACACTCACTTGATACTCAGACTGAGTAAATACTGGCGGGTTGTCATTTGCATCCAGAACTATCACTTGGATGCACAAGGTGCCAGAGTGAACAGGGTCCCCACCATCAGAAGCAATGAGGACAAGCTGGTGAACTTCCTTTTCCTCGCGGTCCAAAGCCCGCTCCAGCACCAGCTCTGGGTACTTGGCCCCAACAGATACAATCTTCACAGCCAGGGAGAAGTAGTCGTTGGGGCTGAGCTGGTAGTTTTGCAGAGAGTTTATGCCCACATCAGGATCAAATGCACTCTTAAGTGGAAATCGAGTTCCTGGAGCCGTTAGTTCACCAATTTTTATTTCCAATTCCTCCGTTAGAAAATCAGGAGCATTATCATTAATGTCTTTAATTTCTATTTCTACTTCAAAAATGTTCAGTTTGTCTTCAACCAGGATGTTAAATTTTACTAGACACCGCGTACTTTGAGCGCAGAGCTCCTCCCGATCTATCCTGCCCGCGGTGACCAAGCTGCCGCTTCGCAGGTTCAGAGCAAAGAGCTGCGTCCTACCTCTGGAGACGATGCGGACTCCGCGCTCTGCCAGCTCCGGGGGCCTCAGCCCTAGGTCCTTGGAGATGTTGCCCACGAAGGAGCCTTTGTCCAACTCCTCCAGCACTGAGTAGCGGATCTGCCCGGATCCAGTCTTGCACAGCGTCCCCAGGAGCGTGCACAGCAGGGCCAGTACTCCACCGTTTCTGATCAGATAACTGGTCATTTCCCTTTTGGTGAATTATTTTTTTTCTGTATCCGGTTCCAACTTCCCACGACAGAATCCACTCTTATTTTCTCAACGAACTAAGCCCTTCATGGGCCTAATTCATAGGTCACAGAGCTGGTTGACCGACAGGGTGAGCGTAGCAGCCCCGGGTTTTCAGAGCCTGATTTGCTGCTGCTTTGCTTCTTAGGAACAAGGAAATGGTGGACTAGCTCTCCAACCGCATTTTCCTCCTTGAGTGGTCAACAGCGACGCTCAGAGGCCTAACCGTATACTGCACTCTCTCAGACAAACGCCAGTTTGTATTTTCAGTTTCCCAACACCCAAAATCCTTTTTATCACAGGTAACAGGATTGATGTTTATTTCACATATTTTAAATGCTTTATGTTAAAGGATGTGACTGCCAGTTATTTCCTCTGGAAGCGATACACTAACCTTAATGCCACCAATATTGCTTCGAACATGCTGGAATTACTGTTTTTTAAATGTTCAAAGTTTAAGAACCACACAGAAACATCAACCATATTGATAAATTATGCCTCTTGAAGTTTGTTCCTAATAGCCTGACATCTTAGTTTTTATATTTTTTATTTAACCAAATCATTAAACAAACATATAATTGGGTGTCAGACAATATCTGGGGATTTCAGATGAACAATATGGACAAGCCACTTCCTTCACAGAGATTATGAAGATGTAAAAGCAAACAAGAAATAACCATGCATTGTCATCCCAGCCTTGGAGTTTAGCAAACATGAGAGGAGTGGATCAGGGAAAAGGCCTGGAAATGACAGACCAGCATGGCAAGGCCTAGATGTGAGTGAAAGGTCACAGAACTATGGGGTATTAAAAGTAGTTCACTTTGCTCAAATATAGAGTGTGAGGAGGGTTTTTAAACACCCAAATTGAAACCAGTAGATATAAAGGTTTTATGTTTTAGAAAACTTTTTTCTGTATTTTTTCTTCTCCAAGCACAAAATAGAAATATAATATAGTTGTCATTTCAATTATGATGCATTACATCCCCATGTATAAGGCCTTATTCTTGTGACAAGTTACTATACACACTAAAAGAAACTGTCCTTAATTTTCTTCAGTTCATAATTTATTAATTACTTACAAGATGTTATGAGGTATTATTCCACAGTGAGTTACAATTTTGTCTCATAGGAAATTATATGATAGTAAGATACACAATAAAATACATTGTCTTGGATCGATTTTCCCTCTAATGCCCTTAAGTATAATCACAGCACCTTGAAAGATGATAATACCATTAAATATAAGACTCAGTTAGTACATGATTACTTCCAAATAAAAATAAAAAAATCCCAGTTACATAGAACATTAGTGTATTCTTTGTTGTCTGTTATTCAATATATTACTAACACACTAAAAGCCAACATGGAAAGAGGAATGGGGAAGGAGAGCTGTGGTTGTGAGGGGGACTGAGGTGAGGGATTAGCAATGTTTTGTTTTTTTTTACGGGGATTTTTATTTACTGAATCCTCCCCTATGTCTTACCTGGGTCCCAAACACAGACTCATGTTAAAAGAGGCCATTTGGGGTTGGGGCCATCCATAGTGGGACTGGAAATGTTTTAAACAGCTGCTATGAATAGGAAAGTTTGAAAAGAGAGATGCATAAGGAGAATTTCAGGGTCACTTATTGACATAGTCTCTAAATCCCTTGAAGATGTATATTATTTTTAAAGATAAAAGAGCAAAATGGTTATCAGATATGAGAAAAATAAAAACATCAAAGAGAAATGTGTTTACTATTACACTACCTATTATAGAGCAAACAATAATTCAATCACTTCTTCAAAGAACGGTTACTCTAGAGGCGAATAAAAATTTTTTTTTATCCTCACCCAAGGACATTTTTTTTGTTTAGATAGAGTGGGAGGAAGAGAGAGAGAGAAACATCAACGTGAAAGGGACACATCGAGTGGCTGCCTCCCACAGGACCCAACCAGGGCCGAGGTACGTGCCCTTAGCGGAAAGTGAACCCGGGTCTCTCTGGACCACAGGCTGACACTCTAACCGCTGAGCCAAACTGGCCAGGGCAAGGGGAATGAGATTTTAAACTAAGCAGAGATCCAATGGCATACCTTTCTGAAATATGGTGAAGCACTGGTGTGTGTTTTTTAAATTTTTTTTTCTTTATTGATTTTTAGAGAGAGAGGAAGGGAGAGGGAGAGAGAGACAGAAACATTGATGAGAGAGAACATTGATTGGCCACCTCCTGCGTGCCCCTCACTGGGGATCGGGCCCACAACCTGGGCATGTGCTCTGGCCAGAATCAGACCCGCAACCTTTTGGTGCATGGGTCAACGCTCAACCACTGAGCCACACCTGCCGGGCAAGCATTGGTATTTTTAAATTTCCATTTTTTAAATAGGGAAAACCATGCAAACAAAGTAAAATGAAGAACCTCACTACCAAACTGAAGAAAAAATAAGATTGAATGAGAAGAAACCAACCAAATAAAGTGTTTCATTATTCATAAACAAATGCAAATATAAAAGCCTTAATTTTTTATCCTCACCCGAGGACATTTCTCCATTTTTTGTTCAGATAGAGTGGGAGGGAGGGTGGGAAGGGGAGAGAGAGAGAGAGAGAGAGAGAGAGAGATATCAACGTGAAAGGGACACCTCGAGTGGTTGCCACCCACACAACCCAACCAGGGCGGGGGACAAACTGCAACCCAGGTACATGCCCTCAGCAGAAACCGAAGCCGGGTCTCTCTGGACCGCAGGCCGTCGCTCTAACCGCTGAGCCAAATTGGCCACGGCAAAGCCTTAATTTTTAAAGAACTTGAATTAACATAAAATCAACCTTCATATTCTTAAGAGAGAAAGAATTGTTGACCCAGGTAGATGAGTTGAATTACCCAGGGATGGGAAAGAAAGTATAAGAAACTGGTACCCCAGTTCCCAATGTTCTTTTGATAACTTATATATCATCTTCACCTACTAACTTCTGATTTATACTTATGACACAATGATTCTAGTCTCTCTTCCCCTTACAGTGAGTGAACACTTACAAGTATCGAGAAATAATTCACCAGGGCTCATTTCCTAAAAATTGAATATATTCTAAAGGAAATATGCAAAATAGAAGAAATATGATAAACAGTGGAGGAAGCTAAGTAAATAGGTAATTTTATTTGTTTAGTGATAGCTCAGTATATTGTGAAAAGAGTTTACCTGAGGAAATATTTCTTCTCCTTTATCTTCGAGTAAAGACTGAGATGCTGATAGAAAATCCTTTTTCTCACAGCTCTCCTGGCTGATGAGTGTGTCTGCATAGTTGGGCTGTGGGAAGATCAGGTGACTCTTCCTCGAGTCAGCGGTGAGGGAGACCTCGTGGGAATAGGTCTGCAGGAACGCCCGCACCCCGTCCACGCCCACAAAGTGCGAAGCGGGCATGCCCGTCAAGCCACCTCCTGAAGCCCGGAGCAGACGTGATGTGTGCCAGCGTCGCAGTCTGAGTGCAACCAACATGATGACAAAGGTGAAGAAGAGGCAGGAAACAGCGGCCACTGCCACCACCAGGTACAGAGTGATGTCTGAGGCATCAGGGTCAGCAGAGGGTTCAAGGCTACCCAGGTCAGCCAGGACGTCTGGGATGCTGTCAGCCACGGCCACGGTGAGCGTGACAGTAGCAGAGAGAGGGGGCTGGCCGTGGTCCTGAACAGCCACCACCAGGCTCTGCTTGAGGGCATCCCGGTCCAGCAGGGCCCGCGCAGTGCGCACCTCGCCCGTGTGCAGCCCCACCACAAAGAGCCCTGGTTCGCTGGCTTTGAGCAGGCGGTAGGATAGCCAGGCGTTCTGGCCTGAGTCTTTGTCCACTGCCACCACCTTAGTCACGAGGTATCCGGGTTCAGCGGAGCGTGGCGCCAATTCCACGCCGGTGGAACCATCGGTGGGGAGGGCGGGATACAGGATCTCCGGTGTGTTGTCGTTCTGATCCAGAACAAAGAGGCTCAGAGACACGTTGCTACTGAGCGGTGGGTTCCCGCTGTCCTGTGCTGTCACCCACAGTTGAAGTTCACGGAACTGCTCATAGTCAAAGGAGCACAGTGCATAGAGGACACCGGTGTCAGAGTTGATGGAGATATAGGACGACAGAGGCGCCCCCTGGAGGGTATACTCGGTCAAGGAATAAGTTACATGGGCATTGTTGTCGCTGTCGGGGTCATGGGCCATCACAGAAATGATGGAGGCTCCTCTGGGATTGTTTTCAGGAATGTAGGCGGAGTAGAAAGTGTGAAGAAAGGTCGGTGGGTTGTCGTTGATGTCTGCCACCTGAAGCACAATGTGAACATCTGTGGACAGAGATGGGTTTCCTCCATCTTTGGCGGTCACAGTGATGTTATAAAAGGAAAACTGTTCTCTGTCAAGGGCTCTAGTTGTAACCAGTCTGTGGTAATTGTCCACTGACCGTTCTAACTTGAAAGGAAGGTTATCTGGTAGTGAACATGTGATAAATGCATTCTGCCCAGAGTCTCTGTCATGTACATTGAAAAGTGCAATTATGGTTCCTGGAGGAGAGTCTTCAGAGATTGAGCTAGTAGCTGTGGTCATGTAAAATTCTGGGGCATTGTCATTCACGTCGAGAACTGTGACAGTAACCTTCGTTCTGGTCAGAAGGCCTGGACCATCATGAGCTTCAATATCAATTTCATAAAATTTGGCATCCTCATAATCTAGACTTTTTATGATTGTTATATCTCCAGATTCCGGTTTAAGCTCAAATACATCTGATGATTTTCCAGGGGTTTTCTCTTGAAAATATGCTACTTGAGCGTTGTATCCCTCATCTGCGTCCGTGGCGGTCACTGTGAGTATCCGGGTGCCTACGGGCATATTCTCTGGAACAGTTACATGGTACTCGGGCTGTGTAAAAACAGGTGCATTGTCATTCACATCCAGGACCGTTACGCGGATGCGGGAGGTGCCAGATCGGACCGGGTCTCCCCCATCCAAAGCCATGAGAACGAGGTGGTG